AACTTTTTTTAAAAAACGTTTAAAAATTTAATTTTTTTTTTTTTTTTTTTTTTTTTTTTTTTTTTTTTTTTTTTTTTTTTTTTTTAAATCCCTAGTATTTATATAAATAACAAAAAAAATTATTGTTCAATAGATTTTGAACCAGCTTTTTTGTGATAATTGTTTTCAATCAATCTTACCATATTTCTTAATAGCATACAAATAGTAACTTTACCAGTACTTGGAACATATAAACTAGCTTTTGTTTTAACATCATCACTAAAGTTTTTATAAAATGAGAAATTGATACAAACAGCACCTTCTTTAATATTTTCAGTTGGGAATTTGTAACTTTGAACAGGGACACCAGTGATGACAATATCAGATTCCAAAGATAATTGTTTAAGTAATTCCGGAGTGTTGGCACCCAAGTCTTCAACTTGATGTTTAGAGAACTTCAAACCTTCCCCTCTAGTGAATTTTTGAATATTATTAACATCGACACTATAAACGGTACAACCATCATTGGCCATAAGAGCAGCTAAAGGTCTACCAACAATTTCACTTCTATTTATGATAATAGCTTTCTTACCGTATAATCTGTTACCCAATGGTAAAAGAGAGTTATAGACTTTCAAATATTCTAAAATTTTTATAATAGCTAAAGGAGTACATGGCAATATAGATTTCAATTCCTTTGCTTCATCTAAATATCTAACATTGTGATACATGTTTTGATAATATGTGTGGTTTAAACCTTCAACATCTTTTTCTATCTTGATAACTTGTTTTAAGTATTGGTCTTGAGCATCACCAAATACAGGGAAATATATCATAATACCATCAATATCATCGTCATTATTAGCTTCAATGATTTTCTCCTCTAAGAAATCTTTATTTGGAACTTTTATTAAACTATATTCAAAACCCATTTCTTCACAAGTCTTTTGAGTCCAAGAAGCATAAGATTCAGCAGCTGGATCTTTATTAGCTAAAAATCCGACCAAATATGGTTTCTTACCATTTGGTTTAACAGACTTTGTAATAGTTTCCAAGTTTTTAACAATTTCTTCAGTAAAAGATTTAGAAATAGAAGAAGATAAGATTGTTCTACCAGCAAAAGAAGGTTTAGAATTAGACATTTTTTTTTTTTAATATATAAAGAACTTAACAGTTGAGAATGTATGATATAAATAAATTCAATTAATATTTATTGGTTTTTATTGTTTATTATTTTATAATAACCAAAAAACAAAAAAAGAAAGGAGTGTAAATTTTTATTTTGTCTCATCTCTTATATAGAAGATAATATCCCTTATATAGAGCTTGTAATTTTTTTTAAAAAAAAAAAATAAGGAAAAACTAGGAAATGCAAAAATTATTATAAATCTTGACTTCTGTTTTTTATTTTTTTTGTTTTTCTTTCAACAGTGCCAAAAAAAAAAAAAAAATGCAAGAAGTTAAATTTTTATCACGTGAATTTTAAAATAAATTACGCAAAACTGTTATATATTTATTATTTTAATTTAAAGCTTCTCCTCTATTAATTCAAAAATTTAAATACTAACAATAATAAACTAATTTAAATCCTTGAAGTAATGTGACATTATTAGTACTTTTTAATTTTATGATTAAAAAGTTATTAAAATTAAAAATAGAATATTATTATTTATAGTATTATTTTAAACAATATTAATATAAACTTTCAACAAAAAAGAAAATTATATAATAATAAAAAGTTTAATATATATATAAATATATAATTATTCTTTCAATAATCCTTTCTTTTTCTTTTTTTTACTAAAACTGATATAAATTTTTTTATATCTTTACTGTGGCTGATATATATCTTTTGTTTTAAACTTTCTTTTTTAAAAAATATTTTAATAATTATTTTTTTTTTTTTTGGATTTATATTTACGGCTCTACCCTTTAATTTCCTTTGTTTTGTTTTTTTTTTTTTTTTCATTAATAAGAATTAATATAGGTATTTTATAAATATTATTGGAGAAAAAAGAAAAGTTGTAGTATTTAAAGGGAACAAAACTATAAATTAGTTCAAATTATATTTTTCTTTTTAATTAAGAACTAGTTAAATTTAGTAAATTTAAAAAAAGATTAATATATAAACAAATCCAATCTTAAAGAAATCCAAAAACAAATTTTAAGAAAAACTCCTACATTTTTGTTTACGTAATTCTATAATTAAACTTTTAGTTTATATATTTTATTATTTAAAAAAAAACTTTCCCTCCACAAAAACAATAAATAACTAAAAAAATATGTCAAATATATTAGCTGGTAAAAAATCTTGGTCAGATCCATCTTCAGGTGAATTTAAAAGACAAGTGTCTCAATTCAGAGAATTCATTTCCAAAGATCACCCTGTTTTCAAACCAGAAAAGAATCGTTACCATTTATATATTAGTTTAGCTTGTCCCTGGGCTTCAAGAGTCGCTGTTGCTAGAGGACTTTTAGGTTTAACAAATGTTATTTCATTATCCATTGTGCATTGGTATATGGAGACTACCACTAATGAAGATGCTCAACCTATTCAAGGATGGAGATTTTTGCCTATTAATGAATATTCTCCTTCAACTACTATCTCTAATGGTGATAAAAGTGATAGATTTGGTATTTTATCAGACTTAACAAGATTTAAAGACGATATCAATAATCGTACTCACTCTTTCAATAATTGTTTTAACGATGGTAATAAATATGATTTTGATGGTACTATTGATCATGTTCATGGTTTTGAATTTATTAGAGATTTATATTACCAAACTAACCCTTGTTTTGAAGGAAGATTTACAGTTCCAGTTTTATATGACTTAAAAACAAAAACAATTGTCAATAATGAAAGTAGTGAAATATTGAGAATGTTTGGTGATAAAAATGGTTTGCTTCAATTTGCTGATAAATCTACACAAGCTGTATCCACTTTGTATCCAAAAGACCTTGCTAAAGAAATAGATTTTTGGAATGATAAAATTTATGAACCTATAAACAATGGTGTTTACAAAACAGGTTTTGCTGAAAAGATTGGTCCTTATGAAGAAAATTTCTATAAATTATTTGATTCATTAAATGATATTGAAACTTATTTAGCAAACAAATATACTATTTCAGATTTGTTTGATAATGCAAAGCAACTCTTTTTAGTTGGGAATCAGTTGACTGAAGCAGATATTAGACTATATGTTACAGTAGTTAGATTTGATCCAGTTTATCACCAACATTTCAAATGCAATTTAAAAATGATAAGACATGATTACCCATTTATTCACAATTGGTTATTGAAATTATATTATGACAAGAGTGGTTATTTCAAAGACACTACCAATTTTGCTCACATAAAATTACATTACACTAGATCTCATAAAAGAATTAATCCATTAAATATTACAGCTATTGGTCCAACACCAAATATTTATACTTTGGATCAATATATTGATAGCATTAAACACTTGAAAAATTAGTTTTAAAAAAAAAAAAAAAGAAAGAAAGAAAGAAAGAAAAAATTGAATTTTATATAATAAAAGCTGTATAGTAGTTTAGATAAAGTATAGAGCTATATTATATGTACATATAAATATATTTTAAACAAATAAATAAAAATCTCATTTTGAATATGAATAAAGAAAATAATTGTTTACAAAACTCACGTGATTTTATTTAAATTTGTTTACAATTCTAAATTGGTAAAAAAAAATAAAAAGTTATATTATAAACTCATCTATAAAAAAAATATTATAAATAATAAATATATATATTTCATTGAAAAAAAATTATTGTAATCATTAACATAATATTCAAATTATCTTAAAAAAGTAATAAAAAAATCAGTAAGAAGATATATTATATTGTTCTTACTAAAAAAGGTTTAATTGCAGTTTTATTCAAAAAGTTAACAATTTTTTTTTTTAAAAATCTCATATTGAAAATTGACAAAAGAAACTAAATAATGAAACTAAACTAATTCATAAATAAACAAAAAAACTGTCTTACTTTTGATAGTCTTTTTATCACTGAAATAATTTATTTACATACACAATTTTTCCTTTAATTTTTTTTTTTTTTTTACAATTTAAATTAAAGCTTGATTGCTATTATAAAATATGACTTTAAATGTAGATACATATTTATTTTTCTAACAGTAATTCAATGATTGACTTTAAACTACTACTGCCTAATAATTTACTCACTTTTCTTTTGAAAAAAACACAGAACAACCAATTTAAATCATTTAAACACCATTTATACATATTTTTAAAAACAGAATTATTTAAACATTTTTTAAATTTTACAATTTCAATAAGTAATTTTGCCCGCTTGGCCAAGTTGGTAAGGCGTTGCACTTGTAATGCAAAGATCACTAGTTCGAATCTGGTAGTGGGCATTAATTTCTTTTTTGGGTTTGTGATGATTATATCACGTGAGCATAATGCTATTTTTAATATTTAACATCACCAAAAAAAAAAAGTTAAAAACTCCTTCTAGATCAAAATACAATAATTATTTTCGTTTCTTTGGTATATATATATATATATTTTTTTTTTCTTTCTTTAAGTTGTAAACTTTTCAGGTTCATTTAATTTTTTTATTTTTAAAATGACAAACAAATATAAGTAAACCATGATTAGGTTATAAACATTAAATATATATCTGAATTTAAATGTTTTTGATAAATATATTGGCTGTTGTGGGATCAATTCTAGGGTTTGTGTTTTTAACACTTTCTTTAGCTTCTGGACTATATTATATTAGTGAGTTAATAGAAACAAAAACAGTTTACACAAAGAAAGTGTTAACAAAGCTTATTTTTGGAATTACAATCACTTTTGTATTATTAATGTTCACAGATGGGCTTCCTATCAAGCTATGTTTATTGAGTATTATATCTCATGGTGTATATTATAAAAACTTGGAAAAATTCCCATTGATAAATCTACATAACATTTATTTCATATTATCAATAGTATTGGTGATCACTAATCATTATTGTTGGTTCAAATATTTCAATAAACCTCAAGCAATACCACCTCAATATAGATATGATCCTAAGTTTAAAATGCAAGCTAAATACAGTTTTCCACAAGTTGCTTCATTTTTTGGTATTTTAGTTTGGTTGATTCCATTTGCCTTATTTATCTCTTTAAGTGCTAATGATCTAGCTTTACCAACACAAAATGAATTTAATAGTAATACCAACTCTAATCACTCATCTTTTGCAAGTAGCAAGAAAAAACAATACAAAGGAGAAAGTCTTGGCAAACAGTTTATCAAATTATGCAGGGAATACTTTGAGCTGTTTATAAACATTTTCACAGGTCAATTTGAAAAGATTAAAGAAAATAGAAAAAAGAATGATGGTTTTGAAGGACTTATTTAAAAAAAAAAAAAAGTTCAAGACCTATATAATAGACGATATATTGGTGACTTTAATTAAACTAGAATACTTAAAATTTTAACATTATATATGATAGAGTAAAATGTTAGAAGAAAATTTTTTTTATTTCAATTTTTTTTTTGTGTCTGCGTCTTTATCAGCCATTGTTACTTAAATAGGAAATATTTTATGATAAAAGATTTAAATTACATATTTAAAAAATAGATTTAATTAAAACAAAAAAAAAAAACAAATAATTGCAATAGTGGATCATGATAATGCAAATAAAGTAATCTTATTTTATTAATACCAACCAAATAAATAGAATTAATATTTTTTAAAAATTTTATATTTTTATTTAATTTAAAGCTTTCATTTTTTATTATTATTAATATCTCTAAATTAATGCAGAATCTCATAAATATCATTTTTAAAAATGATATGTTTGCTGATGTTGGTGGTTTGACACTTTCAATTCCAACACTGGCTTCTTATATTTTAGAATGGATGTTTCATATTTTTTTTATTATAATCTGTATAGTGCTTAGAAGATATACACAGCCAAGAATACAAGATTTTTCATTATTAGATCCATCTATAAGTAAAAGATATTATGCCAACAATCTGACAGCATTCCCTGTTTTTTTACTTTTTATTAGTGCAATTTTTTTACCATTTTGTATATCTTTTTTCATTAATTATCAAAATAAAAGAGTATATTCAATTAAACAAAAATTATGGAATTTACATACTAATGGGTTAGCTATACTTTTTGCAAACTCTTTACAAGTTTTTTTAGTATCTGTATTGAAAAGTCTTGTTGGAAAGCCTAGACCAGATTTAATATCTAGATGTAATCCAGATTATAACATTCCAACTACTAATCCAGCAAGAGTTGTGGATGTCACAGTTTGTAGAAATAATGCAAGAGGAGTTTTATTACTGCAAGGCTTCCAATCTTTTCCTAGTGGACATGCAGCTGCAGCTTCAACTAATTTTATTATATTATTTGTGACTATTGCAAGGAATGTTAACATATTTAATAAGAAAAAAAATTCAATCTCTTTATTAGGGTATGGTTTTCCATTAGTGATGATTTTAATAATAAATGCAACATCAGTATCTGATCATAGACATTTTATAGGAGATGTGATTACAGGAGATATTTTAGGGTTATTTGCATCTTTAGTATCCTTGAATTTGTATTATAAGAATCCATTAAATTTTAATCAAAATTCCTATTTGAAACCATTTGGACCAAGAAGATTTTTTATGAACAGTCAAGGTAGTAGTAATAAAGAAGGTGTATTTATATTTGATGAAGATGAAGAAGGAGAGGAGGTAGGTGAAGATAATAATAGTAACTTTAAAATGCGTACAAATAGTGGAAATAATTTCACCAACATCAGTAATGGTGTTAATGATGAAAATAATAATAACGACAAAACAAAACATAATCATCAACAAAGTACAGAACCATCATTAAGATTATCAAGTTTAATTGGATTAAGAAAAGAGTAAATAAGAATAAGATTTAAAAAAAAAAAAGACACAAGATAAGGAAAATCGATATCATTACAAGTTAGTTTCAGTAAAGTTATTATTATTTTTATTATTAAATTTATTACATAGAGTTAAAACAAATATTATCATTAAAAAAAAAAAAAAAGAAAAAAAGGTAACCAATCACCTATATCGACAATTAATTTTTTCATATATTATAATTAATCTATACAATTTTTTTGTTTTGTTTTTTCAATTTAAAAATCATTCCAACTTTCTTCTTCATATTCCTTCTTTTTAACAGATTTAAATTGTTTCAAGTTTTTATCTTTACTTTCTTCATTATCTTGAGGGTTTCCATTTTTAGCATTTTCTGTACCTTCTTCAATCTCACCATCACCAAGGATATCATTGTATTGTTCCTGTAAAGTTTTAGACCAGGATGACCAGGCAGAAAGACCAAATTGTTTTGTTTCATTCAATTTACTACCAAATTGTTGAGCAGCTCTCATAGCTTCTTCTTGCAACTCACCATTATTATATTGTTCAACATGAGGTTTTATGACAGTCTCTTGAACATCAGCGACTGTTTTGTTGATAGCTTTACTGAAAATCCCCCATCCTGAAGATAAAGTACCTAAAGGATCCTTTTGGAATTTATCAAGTGTCACTGATCCACCAGTAATTTTCTTATCAGAAGCATCATTTTGTGTTTCATTTGTGATCATTGGAGAGTTACCAAAACCTGAATATTTACCACCTTTTGAAGGAGGTAAGTTGTCAGGTCTTTCTGAATTTTTTTTACCCATTTTCTCTAAAAATTCAACAGTTGGTGTATTGGCAGTGGTATTGGAATTACTCTTGATAACATCACCAGAACCAGTGATGATAGTTTTGTTATCAGAAGAGGCTGAGGCAGCAGCAATTAAAGAAGCAGGATCAAAATCAGAATGTTCTGGTTCTTCAAATTCAACACCATCAACAGCAGCTTTCAATTTAGCTTTATAATCTTCAGCGATTGGATTATCATATTTGAATTTGGCAGGAAGTTGTAAATCAATCTTGTGCTTTTGCATATATTCATTGAAAGCTTCATTACCACCCAATTCCATAGATTTCAATTCCTCATCTTTGAAATGATCCATGGTGATTGATCTGACAAAAGATATATGGACACCTAAACCTCTATGAATACCAGCACATTCAAAACAGATAAAAATACCAAATTTAGGAGAAGCCCATTGAGGTTGAGGGTTTTTACAATCAACACATTCCTTATTACAATCTAATTTCTGTAATTTCAAAAGTTTACGTCTAACATCTGGATCAACATTCCATTCACTACTACTCATTTTTTTAAAAAAAAAGAAAGAAGTAAAAAAAAAAAAAAAATATATATATATAAGAAAACTTTTATTTATTTGTTTATTGATTGGTATATTGAATGTTTTGGCTTATTTAGTATTAAAAATGAATATATATATAAATATATTGTTAGAATATATTTTGTTTAATTGATATGAAGCTATATAATAAGATAATTTTCGTTGTATTTTTTTTTTTTTTATTATCAACAAAAATATTAACACAAACAAAAAAAAAAAATAAAAAAAAAAATGAAGTGAAGTGAAAAGGAATTTATTTGCTGTTAAATTTTTTTCTCTCTCTTTTTCCTTCATTAACGAGGTAAAAAAAATTTTATTTTTATTTTTTTTAAATATACATATTATTGTGTGTGTGTGGGTATAAATATAGTGCACGTGATTAGACACATGTGAAACAATTAATATACATTTATTTATAACACGTGTGTGTCTCTTGCTACCAAATTAAATTTACTTCTTTTCTTCTTTTTATTAATAAAATACTAATAATAAATTTTACACTTACTTTTATTTTTTCACATGACTCTATTTGAAGAAACTGTTAAACATATATTTTTATTGAAGGGGGGGGGGGGGGG